CGTGGTTTTTGTATTAGACCCGTCGTCCATTTATTTGTAAGTCAATGATTGACCTCCGTTAAGTAACGCCTGAATATATTATCTATGATTTTTTTAAATTACCGCTTCACATAACAATAATTGACTAATTTGTCAGACACTTTTTTCAATCAACGTGCTATTGAATATAGTCAGTCATAATCTTGTTGAAAGTATCCCGCAGCGCGACATAAGGTTACGTAAACTGTCGCTTCTCCCGCATCGCGCAGCTACGTCAGGAACCGACTCAATTAAGCTGTAGGCCTGTAGTTATTATTATTAGGATTACTGTTAATATCACAACCAAACGGAGAAATGGCGAAATAAGTTACAATTACAAAACTTTTCTTCTACTTGCATTACTGTAGTAAAGTAAATGACTAAACGGAATATAGTTCAGAGGGAGGTATGTATAAATGTAATAATTTGTAATGGACGATAGGTATCTTGTAACGAACAAAATTTGTTTTCTCTATATTAATAAAAATTGTCTTATGCACTGTGACCATTGATCTACTGTAACGCATATCGATCATAGATTTGAGAAAATATTGCATTAATAACGGCTCTGGTTCGACCATGACTGTCTTTTTTTTTGTCAAATCTATAACTAACAGCTGTCTAGCCAAATATATAGGAACACATGTAAAAACGAATAATATTATTGGCGAATTCTTCAAGGAGTTTTTCCTTGCTGAAAGAATTTGTTATAGCTTTTGACCGTTGTTAAACCGACGTTAAAGTTAATTCGGGCAAACGCAAACTTAACTTTAAAGTAACAGTGCATATGTTTCTTCCGTTATTATTAGTCGACTTCGTAAGAATCAATCTAATCTAACTGGGTCTTACTTAAGTTCACAACCATATACAAATATCGAACAAACACAAAAGAAATATACGACTGGACTCCAACCAGCATCTTTTTACCAAAACGGGGCTAGCAGTCTTACATAATGACAAACTAGTGTAGTATTTTTACAAAAAAATATATGAATATCATTGTAGCAAAAACATCAAGATATTCAATGAAATAAACAAGTTCACAACCGTTGAAAAATTTGAAAAGTTCCCAACCGTTGAAAAATTTGAGACGTTCTCAATCCGCATTATACCACAGCGGATGATTGTCTAAATCATATTTGCCCAGCAATGTGATTTAGTAGTTATTGATATTTTTTAGTTTAAATTTTAAAAGCTTTAAAATGAATCTCCTGCCTCATTTTTATGGGATAACGAAAGAGACGTGCACCGAATTAAAATTGACCTAGAGGTATATAATAAATAGTATAATGTTTTATTAATTTCGTCAATAACATTAATCGTTAGTTCACCTAACGAATGACAATATTGTGTAAGCCAAAGCAACGAGAGTATTACGAATGCTGTGTTGATCACGATTCCATTTACGACGATTCGACACCACCTTTTAATTTTAGATTGTTTTGAGAATAGAGGCAATGGTTTAGAAGAGCCATAATTTATAAATCCAATCCAATCCCTCTGTTAAAGTGTAAAAGTAAATCAAACCTCATTCTATTAGAATTACAGTATATAATTCCTTGAGACTGAATTGTTAATCTGACGTGGTATATTTTTTCTCTATTCTCAAAACAAAAATCCAAACTAAGATGGACATTATTTTTAACAACTAACCTACACTCAAGGTGACCAAAGAATATTCTTTAGTTAGCTAGACTTATATTTAGTTTTAAAAGTCTTAATTGAAAAACAAGTGTTTATTTATTGCATCACATTGAAATTTGCCAATTCGTCACACATTCACCATTTATCTAGTCACAATATAATAGATTATAAAAACACACTTGTGCCATACAGTGCTCTCTAAATAGACAAACACACCATCAAACGTAATGAATTAATAAATACAATTAATATTTTGTAACCTTGTTGTTTCATTATATGTAATGTCTTCAGCTATCCATAACAAAGACCCTGTTTCAGATGCCTGCTGGCGAGGCGTCCTTTTGAGGCTCGTATTATTAAACAGCTCTTAAATCCGAGAATATGCGTTTTGTCCACTGAAGCAGAGCTTGGTACCGGTATAGAAATACATGTAGTTTGCCGGTATTTTCCATTTCTATAGCTGAACTAACGAAAAACCGATATTATTTACCTAAAGGTACCGGTACTCAATAGCGGTTACCTCCACGTTGTGAATTCTAATATAACATGTTAATTATTTAATTGCATTTTAATAATCGAGTACCAAACAAGAAAGTAAAAAAAACATTTCCTGAAAATACATGTATAATTTAAACCGGTAACATCATAATACCGGTACTGTAGCTAGTTTAGTTTTACCGGTTCTGGAAATACATATATTCTCTACACTCAAAGACGTGACTCTTAACATCGGATTGATTTATTAGTACGAGTCAGAGAGTCTTAACAAGAAGTTGCATACAGTTCCATTTCTCAGGTATCGAGAGATGAGCACACCTACGCAAATTCACTACAAAAATTGACTTAATGACAAAAGGTCTAAGTTTGCATGGAAAGTATTATAATATTGGTTGAAATTTCCAAGTGTATGACCCATCACCTACCAAAGTAAAATGAGAAGCAAGGATTGGCATTTCGTTATTTTGACGTCGCGGCAACCCAAGTACCCGTCTGGGGTTTAACCAGTTTTTTACTCAAAATTGTGGGCGGAAACGGCGAATACGCAATTTGGTATACCTCCATACTTATTACAATCTTTGCTATAAAAAATCTTTATTAGACAACACAATACCCACATTGCAATCTTGCGGATTCTCACTACTAATAAGGATGCACATTACGATTTGATTTTTATGAAGATCGATTAAAGTGCAACGATTTTTTTGTATCGATTTATTTCAATGCGAATCGAATCTACCGAAAAGCAAACCGAGTCGTCAAGATCAGAAAGCAATAAACATTTTGTAATGGTATCATTAGTTACCATAGGTCGAAAGAAGGTGTTCCACCTATATAGATAAATGTATAGACAGAGACATAGCTACAAAGAGCGACATAGAGTTGTTAAAAGCACCAAATATAACTTAATTATTTTTTAGAATTCGGATTTTCCGGAAATGGTTTTACTGTAAAGTAATTCTAAGAGGGGGTTTAACCATTCTCGTTACTTTTTTATTATCTTTCTTTTGTTAAAAATACAGTTATATACTGCACTTTTTTACATGGCACCATTAGAATTACTTTAAAACACAACTTCGACTTCCTAGGTCAGTAGTTTTGTCTTACGATGCAGTAAAACTATTTCCGGAAATCCGGAATTCGAAAAAGTAATTAATTAATATTTGATGTATTAACAACTTTATGTCGCTCCTTGTATCTATACATGTATTTATATATGTGGAATACCTTTTTCCGATCATTGTTCATTAAATTTGAACAAAACTCGATTTATAACACATTTTAAGTTGTAAATATATTTTGCCTTTCAATTTCATGCGTTAATGAGTTTTAACCCGACTTAAACCAAAGAAAGCGCCAAATATTTAATACTACTGGTTATTGAGACTACTTTTTACGCTGAGGTAGATAACGGGCCTTATTCCCAAGATTGTTAATTTTTGACTAGCTAAATCACCTTTTCAGGTATGCAGTGTTACGTATACTAGTTTATTTAGAGCGGTTTCGGCTTGAGGTCGCACGTGCAGTTGACTGTTTTGCACGGGATCACTTGAAGACATGGCACCTGTAAGAAATTATTATTGTTATAACCTACATAGAATGTAACAAAATGCCCAACATTCAATTTCAAAAGTTAATAATGCCAAGTGATATTTTTGTCTGCCTCTGTGTCTGAATTATTACCGTGCTGAGCTGCCACGCAGAGGTCCCAGGTTCGATTCCCGGGCTGGGATAAATATTTGTATGGCCTACATTTATTTCTCTCGTGAGTTTGGGTGTAATTTGTGGTTGTCTATGTGTGTGTCCATGGCACCCGCAACACAGGGTTTCCCTAGTGCGGGGCTATGTGTGCGTTATTATTATTATTTACCAGAAATAAACTTTTCAGTTTATGTTGCACTGTCTGACTCTTTTTAGATCTATATTTAGTAAGTTCAAGCGTGCAAGCGTACCCCGCGCTCCATCGCTTTACACGGAGATATCATCGCATCGTTTAGAGCATAGATTCCCAAATTTTCGACTCTATCTCTCACTTAAACAAGATAAAAAAAATTCAACCATCACAAAAAAATTTAAAACACGTATCCTTTTTATATTAATTTAACACAAAAAATCATAAGGAAAAAATGTATATATACACACATCAAAAAAAGTTTGCGATCACTTCGAAAAACTGAAATCTTTTTTGTTACTGTAGATTATATTATGATTTTTTCTTCTTTTTAGATTCTTTATTTAAAAATAAATTAGAACATAAAACAATGACCCCGTTCAATTGTTTTTTCATATAAAAAGGCTTTCAGTCCTAGCTTACGCTCATTCAGAAATCTGATTTAGTCAATTATAAGCGATTCCAGATATTTTTCGCGGAAAGTTGTGATTGAAAAAATGCCAAGAGGATTATCAGAGGTTTTACGACCTAGAATAGTAACTTTGAGGGAAGAAGGATACACCACGAGAGTAATAGCACGCAGACTTGCTATATCCCAATCCTGTGTCGTGGCTACGTTGCAGAGGTATCACGGAATGGGGAATTTAGCTGACCGACCCCGCAGCGGTCGCTTAACTGTTTTGACAGCTGCCCAAAAGCGCTATATTAGATTGCTGGCAGCCCGTGATCCAACAATCAACGCCACTAAAATAAAAGCAGAAGTCAGGGCCGCCTCTGGGCTTGAAGTTAGCACGCAGACCGTTAGCAATTGCTTACACCAGCCTGGATTACGAGCACGGAGGTCTTGGCGAGCTCCGCTCAATTCCCGGCAACGTCAACAACGAAGATTGCAGTGGGCTAGACTTCGGAAAAATGAAGAAGGTGAGGACGAAAACATTTGGCAAAACTGTCTCTTCGTTGACGAATCCCGAATCAGCACTCATCCAGATAACCGACGTGTCCGTGTCTGGAGAAGACCAGGCGACCGTGAAAGACAAAGAACTGCCACTGGAACAGTTCAGCAAGGCGGAAAATCGGTGTCCTTTTGGGGTGGCATTATGATTGGAGCTAGAACGCCTTTGATCCCGTATCGGGGCTTCATGACAGCAGACATGTACAAAGCAGTTGCTATTGATGATATCGTCAGACCATTCCGAGTAAACCATGGGCACCAATTTGTACTGGTCGATGATAATGCGCCCGCACATCGAGCTCAACGAGTCAATGCTGCTCTTCAAGAATACGATATCACACGATTAGACTGGCCTGCCGGCTCGCCCGACTTAAACCCAATAGAGCACGCGTGAGATGCTCTTAAACGAGCAGTATGGAACCGTGAGCCATGTCCCCAGACAGTTCCAGAGCTCAGGGAAGCCGCTATTGAAGAATGGGATAGGTTACCCCAGGAAATGCTGGATAACTTGATCCTCAGCATGCCCAGGAGGATCTTCGCATGTATTCGAGCCAGGGGAGGAGTTATTTTATATTGAATTCACACCTTTTAATAATAAATTGTTGTTTAAGTTTAATTAAACAGTCTTTTTCTTTCTATGAAATTTCTATCACTATTACATTATGATTAATGGCTCAATTTTTTAAAATAAATAATAAAAAATAGTTTTATATTTTAATTTCAAACAGGGTATTCCTATTTAAAGAAAGCATACAACATAGATTTTTTCTTGATAAAGTTAAATTTAAAGAATTATAGGAGCTTATGCTATTGATCGCAAACTTTTTTTGATGTGTGTATGTCATATATGTAGTATAGTTTAAATAGATAATTCAGTTTTTTTTTCAAATGCGGTAGCACCCCCTGTACAGCACCAATCGCATCCGAGGCCCGTACCGCCCCCCTAAGAATTCAGCGCCCACTCTGGGGGGTGGTAGAGATCACTTTGGGAAACTATGGTTTAGAGCGATTAGTTTAAATATTTTTATTTTAGTACCAAAGTAGAATCTGACGATTTTTTTAGTATAGTCCTGGCAGGTTGTTAGTATTCTATAAATAACCTCGCATAACGTGAGAGTAACAGACAAAATCAACACTATTTCAAACGGGGTTGATTTTGGCCTTTATATGGCGGACTTTGAACGTGTTAAAATATACAGTGTTACTATTAAACGTAGTCTCATTGAACTAACCTAATAATAATAAACACACGATGTCTGAAGGTTCTGTCCCAAACCTTCACGATACTACATTTATATTAAAGTATATGTATGTACCTCTGGTTTCTGCTGCAGTCCATTGACAGGGCCGGATCGTTTGTAGTCGTCGTTAGTCTCCGATTTGTTCGGCGGCGGCTTCGATGGCCCGGCCTGTAAACCTCACGACCGTTGAAATATTGTATTGAAAGACTAGATTATTGTGTTAAATATGTTTCCTTCGTATAAAGAGTCGATAACAGTGAAACTGTTGAATCGATCATTTTGGAAAAAAAATATAGTAACATTGAAGATATACACTGATTAGTACACGCTGTGAAAACACGATTCCTAGAAGTTTTCACGATAAAAAAATATTACCTCGAAATTTTATAAGAAAACAGCTGTATTCAATAGGTAGGTACTTTACACATCCCAATGATTTTTATTTTATATCAAGTGTACACGACATACGTTTTTCAAATGGCTTTTATTACGTTTGTAAAAAATAAACGACTCTTAACTGGTCTATTATAATTATCCTGACAAATAAATCTGTACTCTTTCAAGAACGTTTAAAACATTTATGCCTGTCAACGCCATCTACAGTTTTGCGCTTGCAACAACAATTGGAATGGCATCCATTTCCAGTTTTTTTTTAAATTTTACTCACTGTAAGTTTTTTTTTTTTTAATTTATTAAGGCTTTGGCAAAGCCATCAGCCTAAACATGAAATTTAAATATGTTTCTGTAAATATGGCCGCCACAAAGAGGATAGGCAATTTGAGGCGGCGTGCTTGGATTGACTCGGGATTCCTTAAAACGGGCCGATACGGGTATTTTATTTCGAGATTCGTATAATTTCGCGTTTTAATCTTCGATTAAGGCACAATAGCACTATCCTATTCCACTTTAAACTAGATTTCACAAAATAATTGAAAGTCAAAATAAAAACGACACTTTTCCCTCCAAAAGGTCCAGAGCGAATCTCCTCACTGTAAGCACTTGTAATGCTGTGCTGTTAGGTTAAGCCAGGTAATATTTTGAAGGTTTTTACCTTGGGAATTTCCTGAAGACCGTCTGTCTTGCCAGTGACTACTGCCTCTTCCAGTTCATCACCATCAGGGCTTAAGGTGCAAATTGGTGGCGGTGGCACCTTGTATCCAGGGTCTGGTTTGCTACTGTCTGTGGCATGGTAAGTGGGGAATATCTTCTGCAGCGGATTTGGCAGGTCTGGCATTGGGTAGAGACGGTATAACTTGCAGTAGCGCTGTGAAGAATAGAAGGCAGTTTTGGTTAATAATAAAACCGAGTGAGATGGGAAGAGACATTCGTCCAGTCAAACTGTAAAAAATAAATTACATACTTAAACAAACCATGTGTCAAACGTGTTTCCGAAAAAAAGACAAACAAGTAATCGCACTCGGTTAACTATGTATTTGAAACGCTTTTTTTACTTAACAATCTAAATTAGATCACAATTCTTATTGTGTTGTTAAAAAGCAAGATACCTGGCTAACTAAACAGCAAAAATGTACCACCTACATGTTATTGGATACTAAGTCCGAGTTGGATGGTAAGTTGGTGAAAAAATAATTACAGAACAAATATACATGGTGGAATAAAACAATGGGATGTGAAGGGGAAGTATCTTAAATGCTTAAGATGTCTGTGTGATGGTCATGGAAGAAAATGAGTCCCACTTCTAGCACTCTAAAAGTTAATTTGTTAAAATACAAGAAAATTATAATTTGTAAATGTTTACTTAGGTAACAATTTCGAATAATCTGCAAAAGGTTGCAATTTGTATAAATTATTTTAATGCAAAAAATATTTTAGTTAATGCAAATGCAATGCGAATTACAGCCTTCGTGTACTTCAAATTAGAGTCGATATTAATATTAGATTTCATGGTTATCTTTAATTGTAAGATTGTAAAACCCAATGTTTATTGGAGGGATTTTATCCTTACCATTGATCCCATCCATCAGTACAAATAGTGGAAGTTTATTTTTTGAAATTTTTGTTGCTTCGATTTCTTGCTCAGGTAAGCTTTTCAAAAAATCAGTGAATGCAGTTGTTCATATTAAGAAATATAAAAGATGTTTCCTTTAAGTAAAATTAGCTATCTTAAACATTTAAGGTGCTTCACCTTCATGTTCCATAGATTTATCCACCCTGTATATATATATAAAAACGGCGGCATCATCGGTATCTTAAAACTGAAAGCCTGTCAATCAATTTGCTTTGTTCTCAAACTTTTTCCATTAATATAATTACATTTCCAGGCACAGTCAAGAATACATAAAATCTTAATGTCAAACTTGACCTGCTTTTGACTCTATACATATGAATTTAAAAACTCACGTCAATTGCCTTTAGTAGTGGCAACAATGGTCTTCCCTTCGATTTAGCTTCTTCTAATAAGGCAGCGGCGTGACTTAGTAGCCTATTATCCGCATCACGTAATTTCTTCTCTGCCAGCTCGCCGTAGAAGTATCTACGCTCGTCTCTTTCTTGCTTATCACGATCATCACGCTCTTTCTGAAAGAACAGATTTATCGTTAGCATTATTCAAACTGCGGTTAATGTTTTTCTTTTAATCTACTTTCTATCTGTCTAAGGCCCGGCGCCCATTGATGTGACAGCACGGCAAGGAATTTTTATGGAACGAATAATGATATACCTTAATCGATATACATTATAATTTGCAATTTCAATGATTATGGTTGTATCTACAAAAACAAAGCTGCGGTAAGCTTTAGGATGTCGAGCCGGCAACCTTCGGAACGCCTCAGCAATCTTCGGGATACTTTAGCAGGCTTCAGGACGCCGAATGCGAATGCAGATGCATGGGCAATGGGAGGTATACCACGTCATACCTAAGGATACTGTGGCATATCTAAGGATACCTACCACGGTATCATTGCCGTCAGTGTGCACTTGCATGTAGGGATGCCGATGGCTCCCTTGCCGTGTCGTTTCGTCAATGGGCTACGGGCCTAAGTTGCATATCATCATTTTATTTTCGAGAAAACAAATAATTACCCGCATTTCCATTATTATATCGTGATATTCCTTTGTTTTGCGTTCTTTATCCTTGCGTTTGTTTTCTTTGTACTCGTCGTATATTTCCGCGTTCTTGAATCTGAAGATTAAGTTTTTGTAAATCTTCCGAGCTGTAATTTCACGGGCCCAAATAGCTATGATAGCAGACATCTGGTAAAAAATGTCACACCAAGAAGAACAAGAAGATGAATATTATGTCAAAAGATAGAGATCCCATGATTTGACAGAATTATACGTATAGGTACGTTTCCAATTTTGATAACGAAAGAAATTAACACATCTGTCCCAGAACATTTATTTATGAAAATGTATTCATTAATTCTCGTAATATTAATACGAGAAAGAAGAATAAAGTGGCTGTTGCAGTTGTCTTAATTAATTAATAGTGGCCAATGTATACGGTTCTACAACAAAATTCCTGTTGATATTCAAAATTTGCTATTTACGGGACTTAAAATCGTAAAACAAAAACTTCATACAAAAGACTAGAAATCGAAAGCGCACAGACAACCCTTTCATTTACATTACATTACAATCCTTGTATAACCTCAGTATTCGGTTCCACACGTCTGTACACGGCGGGCAACGTTATTTTCACATCTCCTTGAGTGTGTCCAGGTTCCTTTTTCCTCGCATTAGTCGGATTTAGTATGTTATTATAGCGTAGGTATTTTCTATTTCGTATGAGAGTGATATGTCTGTTACGTAGTAACTATTAAGTAATCTTATGGTACAGGTTCTCTGTACAGCGCACAGAAATAGACTACCTACTTGTCATTTTCCTATCGAATACATTTCAGGGAGTGCGCGCAGAACTTTACAATTTACTTATTCCACTCTCACCGTTTATCCTTGGATCGACTAGAAAATTCGATATAAGTACTCCATCTTTATGTCTTATTCCAGCCATTGGCATTTGGCGCTTTGCTTCCTCATCCTAAGCAATGGAATACACTGTGTTTCCCACAAAGTGCAAGTGCATCATTTTTCAAGCATACGCGTATAATACTATGAATTAGAATTTATAAATAGAGAAAATAAAGAGATTGCATCTTTCAACCTAGGCTCGTGTATAACGATCACGGTTATCGGACAACATGGTAAATATCACAGGTGAATTTACGAGAAACTCCAATTGGTACCTGTTCATCATCTCCCATCGTTTCATGGTATCAAGCTCATGCAGACGTTGTGCCTCGTCTTTTAGAAATTGCGCCCGAGAATCAAGACACTCTTTCTTGTTTCGTGCCACTTTGTCCAGATACGCTTGGTGGCGAGCTTCCTCACTGAAAACAGAAATTTATAACGCTTTATTGCTTGCGCGCATAGTCGACACGTATGGGCACAATTATAGAACTGACGACGTAAAGTCCGATAACCTCCATAGCCCTACCAGATGAAACGTGTTCTTCGTGTTTACCAATTACCAATGTAAGATGTAACTCGTGTCAATTTCGGTCTATTAATTAATTTGTGCACATAAAAAACATGATTAGAGGCGATCATTCTATTAGTGTAAGCGGAGTAAGACTTGGACAAAAATTTAGTAGCAGTGTGAAAGAATTCGTCCAGGGAAGTACTGCCATCTTACCTATTACTGCCAATTACAGGTACATGGGACTTGTCAAGTTATGTCTCAGGGTGTCGGGCGCAGCCGCAGTGCCCCTCAGATCTTTGTGATTTAAAGCTCTGAGTGGCACTGCATCTGTTATGGATAGGCGTGTCACTTACCACCAGCCGCACGACTTGCTCGTCCCGTCACTTAGTATTATAAAAAAAACAAAAATGTCAACTTTACGACACTTTATAGAGTAAAGGACGTCTTAACTTCATGACAGCTGGGTGGAATGAGGGTAGCTCTATCGCATGACAACAATTTTATAGAAGAAACCGAACTCGGATATAATATAATCTGTAGACACAGAACCTGCTACACAATTCAGTCTACCTTAGCAGGCACGAATCACTTCTGCAGAGAAGGTTAAACGAGACTGTATATCGTGTCAACGCCATCTAGTGCGCCCAAAGCGTAAGCGTACTCGTAAGCGTCCGACCGGTATTATTATTATTTTTCCAATGGCGGCTACTTAGGCTTGGGCCAGTGTTAGTTTTGATTAAGACGTTTCCCCGAGCAAATGACCTTGAGCATTCGGGTCCCTCTCACCGCACTACGCCTCTACAATCTTTCGTATGGGACGTGGAACAAAGGGAGGGAGGAGGTATTACAAGGAGAAGTCAACTTAAGACATTCAAAGAAAATGTGATCTTGGGTACCCTCATCCAAACCACATTCACAGAGAGAGCTGTCTGGAGCGTCGTCGCGACGACCGCTCATCCCAGAGTAACATCAGTTAGCCTTTTTGAAAGTAAATGGCTTTTCTTGTCATCGGCCCGGTTTTGCCTAAATAATATTATGATTTTCGCATGACCAAATATGGTAATAACTTAACGACTTTCGACTTTCACCCCCACGTCTCGCGTGCCCCAATTAGTATTCGAGAAGCAGCCGTTAACGTTGGTAGGAGATAGTCTTTCATTGTGCTCATTTTTTCCTGGATTAGTTCCCGTTTCAAGTATTTAGTTACGTCGTAGTTTATAAACAATAAATATCTATAATGCTCTACCGACTGATTTATTAAAACAGACCGGACCGGACCGGACCGTAACGGAACGGAACGGAACGGAACGGAACGTTTATTAATGTATGTCATTATTTATGTCAATTATGATATAAAGTTTAATTTACAATATTTAATGTGTTAAGATCATAATAATTTTAATAAATTTATAAATGAGAAATTCATATGAACTGTAAAAACAATTATCTAATAGACTTTATACATATAATTTTTAAATTCCCTTTGAGGCATTTATTTTAAATAGTCCGGTATTAAATTAAACAATTTTATGGATATCTTATAACTATTTCTTATGAAACATGTAGTTTTTAGTTAGATTTGGAAACTGCCCAAATATGAATACTATTTTTGTTTGAACCTGCTTAGATTTCTCTTGACAAACATACAGACCAAGAATCAACAATCAAGCTGAAGAGCTGCTTGAATAAAGGTCTACATGATTCGAAGGATCCGACTTGGCTAATCGCTTTCACACATTTCTTCTGTAGTACAAAGGCTTTATCAATGTCAACACAATTCCCCCACAATACAAGCCCATAATGCAAGGCAGTAGACACGTTGCCATGATAAGCCATTAGCGCGGTCTTTTTATCACATTGTTTACTCAAGCGATACAATACATATATTTTGATTCTAATTCAAAATTCTTTTTTGATTCTAACCATCCTATGATCTTGGTAATGGTCGTGTTTATTTAGTTAGCGTAATCTGCGTTTCTGTTTTTATGGACGATAACGGCTAAGTCGTCCGCAAACAAGGTGCAAGGGTATTGTATCGCTGACGGAAGATCATTTATATACAAAAGAAACGAAAAAGGTAGTGGGCCCAAAATGCTACCTTGTGGGACTCCAAACTAATTTTCTTTAAACTCTGATCTATGAGCGACATATTCGGATTTAGAATTTACGCTATGTACTTATACGTACTGAGTTCGTCCACTAAGATAGCTTTTTATCCACTGGCAAGCCTTCCCTCGGGTCCCATACAGCTCAAGTTTTGACAACAAAGTTTCGTGGCATACAAAGTCAAAAGCCTTATTCATATAAAAAAATACTGAGCTTATAGAAGTTTTATCGTTCAATATTTCCTTAATAAGAGTATAACATGCCAAAGATATTGACATTTCGTTTTTGGAAACCGTCCTGTTCCGGTCGAATTATGTTAGGTATGTTTTTTAATAAATGTTGTCAGCCTTTTCAACATTACTTTTTCCCAAATTTTAAATAATATAGGGATCAATGTGATTGGTCGGTAGTTTTCAATACAATACTTTTCGCCTTGCTTGAATAAGGGCTTGACTACTTTTTTAATGTAGTGTGAAAAGTTCCGTTAATTAATGATAAGCTTATAAGTTCCGACAATACCGGAGACAATTCGCTTGAGCAATGTTTAAATATTTTTGTACTTAGATTGTCATAGCCAGTAACAATGAATGATTTAATTAATGTTATTATTTCATTTTCATATTGAGAGTGAGAGTTGACACATACGCAGATATCCCTAATGTACATGCATGGCAAAGGTAATATGTTTAGCCTTTTGAGCAGCGGTTTGCAACTGTCAGCGAACCACGCGCCGCAAATTGCTTGAATACACTTCTTCTGAACTTTAAACGCTCTTTTTAAGATTACTGAGTTACCCCATAGTACAAGACCGTAGCTGAGCACGGACGAAACGTAGCCGTGATAGGCTGTCAACGCAGCTTCTCGCGAGACAGTTTGCCTTAATCTTCGTAAAGCGTAAACAAATCTGTTTAGGTTCATGCAAATCTGTTCAATGTGTTCCTTCCAGTTAAGGTTCTTGTCGTAAAATCTAAATGTCATAACTTTGGTTTTACTTATATTAATATCAAGTCATTGATGTCCATCCAACTTATTATGTCTGTCAGTGCTTTATTTATGTCAGTGTTAAAAGGTGCTTTGTTTTGTCATTTTAATATAAGAGTTGTATCGTCAGCAAATTGTATACTATTATGATCAATAGCACGTGGGAGATCGTTAATGTAGAGCAGGAACGGTAACGGACCCAAGATGCTACCTTGCGGTATTCCAGCATTAGTCGTTTTAAAGTGCGATCTAAAATTTTTTTCTAATCTATTATTGTGATTGTTTTTTGTTATTCTACTTATTTTCGTATACTGTGTCCGATTTTTTAAGTAGCTCGCTATCCAATTTTGGGCTGTTCCTCGAATGCCGTACGCTTTAAGCTTGTAAAGGAGTTTTTAGTGATTGACAAAGTCGAAGGCTTTAGTCTAACGCCATTTTGACGGGAGTAGATGGAACTATTTCGTACTACGAAATACCAACTTGTATTATTTTTAAAAACTGGGAAGTCGTTATAGTCGGATCAGCTGTTTAGGTTATGTTAAGCTTGACAATTTTTAGACGTACCTCGAACATTAAGCTGATTGCTGTCCCGGAGTTCTTAAGATGTCTCTTTCCACGAATTTGGTTTTGATTAAGCGGATTATTTTGAGTTTTTGCAATAATTAATGTTGTAAAAGACAAACTTGATTTGGCTATTTTCTAAACTTCCTTTTCGATTTTTTGCTATATAACACTTATGTAGCGTAATTAGAATACTACGAACGTAAACTTAAATAAATTAACACCAGGACTGCACTTATTTCACGAAATTGAAAATTAGTATAGGTACGGAGTCAATGTTTACTAGAGCACTTTATAGCAAGTTATTTTAATTAGCCTAGTCAAAGCTGTAGCGATTTTAGGTTACAAATGCATAGTAAAAAATGGAAATAAATCAATACTGATAAATACTTATGGCCGTAAATTTGCATTGTACTTTTGTACAATTGTTTGTGTGTTTCGCACCTTCATCGCTGTTAAAAACTAAGTTGTAGTTAGCTTAAATAACTTACGCAGCAATGCGCTCTTTGACAGCGGCTTCCAGACTGGCCTGCTCCTTAGCGTCGCGAGCAGCTGTGCCCGATTGTAACTTCGCGCTGATGGCGTCCAGAACGCGCTGTCTTTCGTCGTGAGTCTGTAAAATTGAATACTTGCTTCCATTTCTTTTTTTTTTTCAAGTCGTGTTTTCATATTTCGTTAATTGATCATGGATTCCCATTGACTTATAATTATATGGACGTCGGGTCCGCGCTAAAAAGTGTCCGAACTTATAGGGCGTTAAAATCGTATACAGAGCCGTCATTCACGCTTTAGTCTTCGTTTGTTCGACTGACAGCGAAGCAAGCAAAATTAGACAGTACTGCGATGACATTACAATTTAAATTCAACGTTTTAGCTTTTTCATATTCCTTTACATGTCACTACGTTTAAATAGGTTGACTTGGGACATTTTTTTCGTGGTTTTTGTATTAGACCCGTCGTCCATTTATTTATAAGTCAATGTGGATTCCACATTTTCTGCACTAGGTAATGTTTTCAATTTGGTATGTGATCGCAGTGCCGTAACTGGCAGTTACCAGCGGCAATTTTACGTAGGCTGCATTATAACACCATTAATAAGCTTCAGTCAGCACTATAATAATACAGCCTAAAAATGAGTGCTACTAAGATTGTTCACATAAATCAACTCACGTTTTATCAATGCCTATTTATTTGTGATCCGAGTTTCACTAATTTTCAGTTCGATTCTTTTGTTCTTAATATTTCATTTTTTATTAAGATACCGACTGAAGGGACGAACAGGCATCATGCGCCTAGGATCACAAATTACTTAATATCAAGGTAAGCGACACGCCTATCCAAAACAGTTGCAGTGCCACACAGCTAGAGCTTTAAATCGGTAAGACCTGATGGGAACTGCCACTGCTACCGTCACCCTACGACAAGTTTGACAAGTTTCATGTGCTTGTAGTTTCACCATCACCTTCAAAACCTGAACGCAGTAATGTGAGAATTACTGCTTGGCGGCAGTATTCTGGACAACCTCTTTCACAAGGAGAACTGCTATAAACTACGTTGATAAATCTATTACTATTGTTCGCATAACAAGTAACGAACCGCTTTCTCGGTCTCTTTGCGCCTCCTTTCAATGGTGGCTTTGGATTTCACCAGCACTTGTATCAGATCCTCGTCCATCTTGTCACGAGCTGCAAGCACTTCCTTCCGCTTTTTGTATTCTAGTAGCGATTGTTCATTGTCGTGCCAAATTCGCTTTTTTTCTGCTTCTTTCTGGAATATTAGCACAATAATTTTTAGTATGGAGCATACATAATACAGCTAGGTACTATATTTTTTATATTATATTAACACAAAAAATTACAAGGAAAAAATACATAATAAATTGTAGTGTATTTTATATAGGCAAAATATAAAGAAAGAGAGGTGTAGGAAGAAGGAGAATATCCAGGCTCAGAAATTTGCGCCAGTGGTTTAATAGGAGCATCCGATCATTATTCAGAGCTGCAGTGTCCAAAGTTCAGATTGCCATCACGGTAGGCGACTTTCATTAGAATAGAATAGACTAGAATAGAATAGAATAGGAAACATTTATTGCAACGCCACCATTGACAAACAAGAAACAAACACAAAAAAATAATATTAATAAAAAAAACAATTAAATAAATAACACAAAAAAAACAGCATAGCTAACATTTGAACCAAACAACTAATATTACTGTATAAATTAATACTATACTGACATGTGTGCGGCTGTGGCGTTTGCAAAAGGATCTCATTCAGCTAAAGCCACAGCCAAGAATAGACCGTGCCGCTGGTTTTCAATGGACCATAGCGAGTGAGTGACAGACTTGTGCTTCGCGAAATGTAATTAAATACTACGTAAATACTTATGTCTTACTTACTTAATCTTTGTGTTACAAATACGTATAGTTATATGTTATAAGAGTGTGTTAGTGCAAAGTAATTATTAATTTCCCTTATTATTAATACAAATTTAAGGTATCAAGTATCTATCTAATTCGTTAAAAGGATTCTACTTGACTTCAACATTTAACAACTAATATTCTTGTGTAGTTGCAAATAGTAACTACAGTAATGCTATCTGAAACTTCTACTACTACATTAGAAGATGGCACATGAAGAAGAAGGTTTTATAAAGATAATTCAACTTTTTTTTCAAACACCCCATGGACAGCATCAACGCCCCCCAATTGCTTCCGAGGCCCCTACCGTTTCCCTAGGTCTCTTCAGCGCCGACTACACTGGAGGTAGGGACAAGTTTGGGAAACTATGAGCAAGATTTAGAGAGACCTACCTACTTCAGCACGATTAAAGTAAGAAGTAAAAATGACCAAGTAAAAGGTATCCGGTAAAGAGAAGTGGAATCTGTGGTCTATGTCGGTACGATATACCTATAGGTAGATACATCTTAATGTAGGTTTCCAAAATTTTTGTATGGTTTAATATTTTAACAGTACTTTGATTATCCACTTAATACAACAAAACTAAATAGCAAGTACGAGGCTAGTATAGTCTTAAGTAGGTACCAAAACAGATCTAAAACAGCTGTGGAACTCTATAAAAAGAAACGAAATAAAAAACCGACCTCAAAAGTTATTCATCCCCTAGTTTGCCACCCTTAAAGGCGGAATATTTTCTTCAAATTTAAATAGGACAACATCTGAGGCACTGTAGTCTAGGCTCTACTCTATGAGTAGAACTACTGGCTGAGTGAATATAGTTTTGTATTTAGAATATGTTTGAAAAAATGAAATAAAGAGAATAGAGCATCTTGAGAGTCCGAGATGTAACCCGAGGCAGAAAATATGTAAAAAAGTACAATAAAGCAAGTTTTGAAGATTATCCCAGTTTATATTTACAAAAGTACCTCTCGCTACGCAACATGAGGCACGTCCAAGTCTACAGTACCATATTTCTAACAAAAAAAGAATCATCAAAATCGGTTCAAAAACTGGAGTTATGGCGTAACATATAAAAAAGAATTTTTTGAAGTCGGTTAAAAAGAAGGGCTATACATAAAGGATATACATAATGAACCGCAGGTTTTTAATTGTCGGTAGATGTACCTACATCATCGTCATGCTCAACCCGTTGTACGTTCCACTGTTTCAAAGAAAGAGGTCAGGCTTTACACGATCATTTGTAAAATATCTACTAACAACCTCACTGGACTATTCATAAACAACAACTTTTGTTCCATAACTTTTATCCAATAATAAAAATATTTAAGAGTTGCCTTAGCTCGAATTCAAAATTTTCCGTACTAATACGGTTCATTTTACTTGGGTCGAGCGCCAGGGACTCATGGGACACTGGGACACTTAACGCCATTTAATTTTGAAAAATGTGTTTATCGGATACTACAGGTACGTATTTTACTTAGTTCAGTTGATATGAAAAAAGTCATTGGTGGTATATGTAAAGTACCTACTGAATGCAGCGGGTTCTCTTGTAAAATTTCGATTGTGTTTTTTTTTTGTAGCGTGAAAATTTTTAGGAAACGTGTTTCCACACCGTATAGTAATAGTGTATATCTTCAATTTGACTATATATGTATTTGTTCCAAAGTTCCAAAGTTTGTGATTGATTCAACGCTTTCACTGTTATGCAGAATCAACCAAAGCCAATTGAGTTTGTATAGACTCTTAAATAGATAGTTCTAAAACATTGACTTACAAATAAATGGACGACGGGTCTAATACAAAAACCACGAAAAAAATGTCCCAAGTCAACCTATTCGAAATTTAAATTGTTATGTCATCGCAGTATCGCGCTGTCCGTAGAACAAATGAAGACTAAAGCGGAGTGTCGCGCTCTGTATACGATTTTAGCGCCTTACAAGTGCGGACACTTTTTAGCGCGGACCCGACGTCCATATAATTGTAAGTCAATGTTCTAAAAGGACGACGCTTGCACGTTCAACATTACTTACCTTACTATCAAACAGATCTAAAAAGTGTCAGATAGTAAAAAAAAATTGAATGTTCATTTTTGATATATATTTGTCATGTTTTGACAAAAGTCGTGAAACAAGAGTTGTTGTTTATGATGCTAGTAATCTAGTCCTGTAAGGTTGTTAGACTTTTAAAAAAAACTCTGTATATGGCGTTAAGCTGGCTCAATGAGGGTTGAGAATTTTACAAGTTTTCCAAGGGTTATGTAGGTTCCTTTCTCGATATGTAGTTTTCATTACGGCGTTGTTTGCCTTCAGCTTACCTACACCACATTCACAAAAATACTTAACTGAAACAATAGCCCCCTTTTCACAGTCAGCATTCGGAAGCAGTCATGTACGCAGGATATTATAGTGCATAAACGTACTCGTACGCGCAAAACGCAGGTGCTCTTTTGTCCTAGCTCTCTTATTTCCGATGTAATGGTGAACCGCTACGACCAGAAGAGAGTTCGGAAGCAGTGTCTGGCGATAGTTATATTATAGATAGTTGGCCGTCCACAATGCCTCGCTAATGATTGCGGAGGGAAACCTTCCGCAATCATAGAATAGATAAAGGACACCAGTGTCACGAGCACCACAATTCCCTTGTGGTGCTCGTAGCCCGAGGAATCCGGGGCCGCTTACCCGTATCTTGACCAACGGACAGTTGAACATACCAAGACCCTTTGAACTAATTATACAATAGATACCTAATTATACAATAGATAAATATTGCTTACGAAATTCATATCAAACTCCCGAAGTTGCTCCAACTCCTCATTAGCCTTACGAATATCCATTTGTTGTAATTGAAGTTCTTCTTCCTTTTCACGTTGCGCTTTTTCTTCGTGCTCTTTGATTCTGACAAAAAAAAACTAATTTGTAAAGCCGCGACAAATTTGGTAAAAAATAAAAAGAAATCAGCTAGATACATTTTAAAATATTCCCTA